GAACCTGCTCAGGAGGGAAACAGGGGGACAGTGACCCCCCAAAGCTGGGGTTTCCTCTCTGCAGGAGGGTCTGAAGGGGCTCAGTTCAGCTGAGGGCATCTCAGAGGGGTTGGCCTGCAGCATCTTGGCTGCTCTTCTCGGTCCACCCCAACCCTCCCAGGCAAAACCAGGGGCTCGTTGAGCTTTGGGGCAAGAAAAGGTCCCCATCCCGGCTAAGATCAGCATGGATCTTCCCCATCCCTCATCCCAGCCGCCTAACCCAGACACAGATGGAGCGAGGGACCAACCAGTTGTTGAACGCTGTGTCATTAGTCCACCTCCAGCTCTTGTCATCCGCCTTCCTCAGCCCAAACCAGTAGTTAGCTGCTCCCTTGTAGCGCGTTATGAAGACCTTCAAAGCACAGAAACGTGTTGTAGGGGTCTCCCTTTGAAGCCATCATCCCAGGAGAGCTTTCCCTCCACGTGGACACCAGGCTGGGCAGCTCCTTGCCGCAAAGTTTTATGGGGGCAGAAATGTCCACCAAGGACTACGCTCAGGAAGGCACTAAGTCATCATTTAGGGATTTCAATGTGGCTGTTTGGGAGAAAACACCCTATGCATCCACCGCGTCCTGGTGCTTTTCTTGCCAATTGCTTTGGGCAATTTGGCCCAAAACGGCCTTTCGAGCCAGCCCCCTCATTCCACCCCGTGTCGGAGCAGGGGATGGAGCCCAGGTCTCACCAGCTCATCCAGGCTGTGGATGGAAGCCAACGAGGCGCCCATGGACTCGCAGTTGGCCCTGCTGGAGTCCCAATCGCTCTCGTTGCTGGAGAAGTAGTAACATCTCCCCTGGAAACCCAGCCAGGCATCAGGACACACATGGGAGAAGTCAGGGAGAGATTTCCTTGCAAATGCAAACCAGTAGCTAGCTGCTCCCTTGTAATGTGTTATGAAGACCTTCAAAGCAAAGAAACGTGTTGTAGCCAGGGTGGCTTTCCAGGGCCTCCCTTTGAAGCCATCATCCCAGCAGAGATTTCCCTCCGTGTAGACACCAGGCTGGGCAGCTGCAATGTTTTATGGGGGCAGAAATGTCCACCAAGGACTACGCTCACGAAGGCACTAAGTCATCATTTAGGGATTTCAATGTGGCTGTTTGGGAGAAAACACCCTATGCATCCAACGTGTCCTGGTGCTTTTCTTGCCAATTGCTTTGGGCAATTTGGCCCAAAACGGCCTTTCGAGCCAGCCCCCTCATTCCACCCCATGTCGGAGCAGGGGATGGAGCCCAGGTCTCACCAGCTCATCCGGGCTGTGGATGGAAGCCAACGAGGCGCCCATGGACTCGCAGTTGGCCCTGCTGGAGTCCCAATCGCTCTCGTTGCTGGAGAAGTAGTAACATCTCCCCTGGAAACCCAGCCAGGCATCAGGACACACATGGGAGAAGTCAGGGAGAGATTTCCTTGCAAATGCTGCAATAGAGAGAGCTCCGTGAGACCCCTGGCAGCCCCAAAAAGGGGATGAGCAGGAAAAGGAGAGGTTTTTCCAAGCTGAGGAGACCGGGGACAACCTTTCCTTGGAAAAGGGAATCAAATGAGGAGTTAATACTGGTTTGGAGAGGGCTCAATGGGACAGGGCCTTTCTCCCGTCGGGTGTGCTTGTGCTGGGAAAATCCCAGGATGCTCCCCCAAAAGGAGACGCTTTTCCAGTCTCTTTATGGAGAGATCCTGCCTTTCCTGGCAGGACTCACCTGTCAAGCTTATCCCCAGCGCGACGGTGAGCAGGATCAACACGGTGCATGTGAAGACCAAGGCACGTTGAAAGCAGAAGTGTTTTCTTTGTGTCTTGCTGAGCGCCACTTCTGCAAAGACAGTTGTGGGTTGGACCTTCCTCCCATCCCTTGCTCCCTCCCTGATGTCCCTCATGAGCCCTATGGCTGGGCTGGGGTCCCCTTCTGCTCCCAAAACTCTGCTCAGGACCCTTTTGTTTTAGAATTAACCATTCCTCATATCGGTAGGGCTGGGAATGGGGGAATTGCTCCCAAGAGTTGCTTGCAAAGGTGGGAGAACCCAAGATTTCTGTCTTGGAAGACATCTCCATGCCTTTGAGCACCTGGAGATAGACCCGGGCTCTTCGCCTTGTGGAAGGGGCCCTATCATAAAACTTAGGGCAGCTCCAAGTGGATTTGGTGTATCAAACCAGCAGGAAAACCTGGATCCCTGGGTCCCCTCCTGCTGCGAGATCTTGCCCCAAAGCGGGACAAGATATTTATCCCATTCTTTCCCCTTAGCGTTGAGTTTCACCACATATACCCCATTTTCTCTGTTTCTCATCTTTCAGGCAATTCAAAACTCCTTCTTCCGGAGATATCCTTTCTTTGCCATCTTTTCCCATTGTTGGTGCATGAGATTCCAGGATGGAGGTTTAAGAAGAGGTTCGGGAGGTCTAAGAAGACATCACGGTTGAGTGGTGCCAAAGGGTATAATCCCTAAGGAAAAAAAAAGAAAAGGAAAAAAAAACAACAAAAAAGAAAGGTTGAATATTTATAGATCTGTTAAACTAAAAAAAAAAAAAAAAGGAAATATCCATTCCTCTTTTTCTTTTTTTTTTTTTTCTTTCAGGAACCATCCAGTTTTGGCTAGTTCTGGGGAACAAGTTTTACCCAATAAGGGATCAGCTAGCAAAGAATCACATCCCATCAGCATTTCATGTGACGTTTTCAACCCAATGACAAGCAGAAACTCCTGACCTGGAATTTACAGTTCACAAGCTGGTGTGGCAGAGGAGAAAATATTTTATTAGACAATTTGCTCCCTTTTCTGGCCATAACACACAAAAACATTGTGTAGGATGGACACGACTAGAGGATGCATCCATGGAAATTCTCTCCATTTTAGAGTTTGTTCAAGATTTTTGTTTCTTCCTTCTTTCTTTCTTTCTTTCTTTCTTTCTTTCTTTCTTTCTTTCTTTCTTTCTTTCTTTCTTTCTTTCTTTCTTTCTTTCTCTTTCTTTTTCCTTCCTTCCTTCCTTCCTTCCTTCCTTCCTTCCTTCCTTTCTTTCTTTCTTTTTCTTTTCTCTCTTTCTTTCTCTCTTTCTTTCTTTCTTTCTTTCTTTCTTTCTTTCTTTCTTTCTTTCTTTCTTTCTTTCTTTCTTTCTTTCTTTCTTTCTCTCTCTCTCTCTCTCTCTCTCTCTCTCTCTCTCTCCCCTGCTTTTTCAATAGTTTTTCAAGCTATTTTTCACCTGCAAACAACTCAGGAGCTAGGGCAGCACAAGCAATTTCATTTTTTAAGTGACACTTGCAAAAAATGGCCCACCACAGACGTAAGCAGCCTGAAAACCCATGAGAAGAAGGCAAATTTAAAGAAAAACAACTCAGCATAAACAACTCAGCAAAAAAAAACAACCCTGCTTTTTCAATAGTTTTTCAAGCTATTTTTCACCTGCAAACAACTCAGGAGCTAGGGCAGCACAAGCAATTTCATTTTTTAAGTGACACTTGCAAAAAATGGCCCACCACAGACGTAAGCAGCCTGAAAACCCATGAGAAGAAGGCAAATTTAAAGAAAAACAACTCAGCATAAACAACTCAGCAAAAAAAAACAAAACAGCAAAGCTGCGGCCGCCCTTTGCACGCAGTAGTTCCGGTTTCCTGTAAAGCCGCCTGTGCACAAATGATAACACATGGTTATCTTGTGCTGGTTATGTTTATCTTGGCTCTGCAACCCAATCCGCCTTACAAAGAGCAGCAACAAACGCACTGCAAAAGGCCTCCATGGCCCAGGACAACCTGTTCTGTTTACTTCAGCACCGAGCATAAATAAATCACTAAAACCCCATGAGTTTCCTGGCAGGACTCCCTGCAGGATTTGCTACAGCAAGAAAGTCCTGCTTGGAACCCCCTAACTCTGAATCCTGACATTAAACCACCTGATAAGCGAAATTAATGATTTTTTGTTTTTCTGGAAAAACAAAGGCGCATCTCAGCTAGTACCTGCATGATGAATTTGGAAAAAAATACAGAAAAATAAAATTAAACAAAGAAACAAAACCCCGGTCTTGAGAGTGCTTCTAGCTTGGGCTGGGATGTAGTTTTTTGGAATGATTTTGATTCCCATGGTGCAAATGAGAAGACGGAGCGGAGTCTGCTCTAGCGACAGGATGGGAAGTGATAGGTGTGGGTTGCAAGGAAGACAAAATACTGTGCAGTTGAGAGGAATTAGGCTAAAAATGGAAAAAAAAGAGGAAAAGGGGCTGAGAATTAGCTGGAGGGGAGGAAAAGAGGGGAATGGGGTCTCACTATCCACAGGGAGCGACGGAGTCGAGGCCGCGTCTGACCTGGGACTGACCAAGCTCAGGGGCTGGGATCTTCCGAGTGGGAAAGACGGGTTTATGCAAACAACCAACAGACATCGCATAAACAAAACCAAAACCAAGACGGGTGAGAAACGAGAACTATGCCAAAAAAATCACCTCTCTGCTTGGTCTCACAGAGAGAGCTTGCAAAAATGGGTTCCCTTAAAAATAAATACATATATCCCCGGAGGAACCCTCCTCTACTCCTCAAAATGAGAGATTGCACAGAAAAAGCTGGTATTTATCCCTCCCCAAACCAATTTGGCTTTTACACAATATCATTTTTTTTTCCCTCCCTGGGTGACTGTTTTCCTGGTTATACCAATATTTCCTTTAAAATTTCCCTCCAGATGAAAGACAAGGATGATGCAGCAGATCTGCCCCTTGTTAGAGAGGATCCGAGGGAACAGAAGGGAAAAAAAAGGGGGAGAAAAATATAAATAATAATAATAAAAAGCAAGGATGAGGAAGGCAGTAGCCAATGTGTCCTGGATTTAGTGGAAACAGCTTCAAATTAGCGATTGGGAGCAAAAATGGCTTAACTTAACAGATTTCAATTTCTGGATGTGGAAGAGGGGGGGAAAAAGGGAAGGAACCGAAATCCTGCTTTTGCTCCCCAAATTCATCCCTGAGCACCCGTGGGAAAAAGGCTCTGCTGGGGCCAGCAGTTACCCAGGCAGTGCCCAATATCTGGTTTTATTTATTTTGGGCTGAAGAATTTGCTTTTTTCCTCCCCATTCACACTTACCTGCTGCCTTCTGGGTGCAGCTGAACGCAGGGGAAAACGGGAGCAGGGGTAGAGGAATCCTCACCAGCAAATGACCCCAGAACGAGCCCGGGAGGGCTGGCACAAGCGTAATGAGCTAATGAATATTAATTTTTACACCCAGGAGAGGCATAAAATCGTTTTAATTGGACACATGATGTATTATCAGGGAGGAGAAACATATCAAGAAGCAACATATGGTAGGAGGGCTGGGAAGTCAGCAGGTTTTTCTCTCTTTTTCTCTCTTTTTCTCTCTTTTTCTCTCTTTTTCTCTCTTTTTCTCTTTTTTTCTCTTTTTTCTCTTTTTTTCTCTTTCTCTCTCTTTCTCTCTCTTTCTCTCTCTTTCTCTCTCTTTCTCCCTTTCTTCTCTCCTTTTAAAATTTTTCTTTCTCATATCATTACTTTCTTTTTTACTTTTTGCCACTGGGTGAGAGGAAAAGGAATTGAGTGGCCTGAATAAAGGGAACGGGCATTAGAGCTGTAAACATGGCTTTAGGATCTGCTTCTGCATTGGGACACCCAGATTACCCCAAGCCTGTTACAAGGACAAAATGGAATATTCACGGGGATTTGGGGCTGTATATAGAGGAGACCCACGTGCTGCATTGCTTTGAAGCCTGAGGAATACCTCTGTTTTGTATCTGTGCTTCATCATGGAATTCTCTCTGTTTCTTGCACCTCGAGTGGGTGCTCCCACCTGCCATCCCACTTCCCAAACCCAATTCCTCCGTGGTGGAACCACTCTGCCTTCTCTCCAGGCAGGAATCCCAGAAGGGGCCACACTGGAAATGCTGGTTTTCTTTTTCTTATTTTTTTTTCCAAGCCAATAGTAGCGACCAGTTTTATTTCTTGCATTACACCTTTTTCTTTTCTTGTTGCAGAGAAAACATTTGATTTTATCACACACGTTTTCCTCGGAGATGTCAAATCCAGGTGCCAGGCGGGGGTGACCCTTTGCCCAAGGGCTGTTACTGAGTCGGTTCTAACTGTCCCTTTTCTTTCTTTTTTTTGGTGTTTTGGGGCAGGATGTGACTCGTCTCATCCTGGCCAGCCCCACACTGACCCCCTTGTCCCTCCCCACCGGCTCTTCTCATTCTGGAGAGGGAACGGGGGCCGCTCTGCACCTCACCATGGAGGACGAGGACGGCTACGTGGCCCTGGGATGCAGGTAAATCTCAAACGCGCTGCAATTTCTCCCCATATATTCCCAATTCCCACCCAAAAGGCTTCACGTTGAATGCCAAGAAGCAGCTGAGAGCAAAAGATGGGTAACGAGTGAGGTAATGAGTAATGGGTAATGAGTGAGGTCAAAGAGGAGAAACCTATGGAAAAATTCTGGAGCAGGGAGTGCCCCTGTTGTTCCTCTTGGGTTGGGACTTTCCATTGGCTCCCTGCTGCCAGCCGGGTGTCTCTGTGTCCCGTGTTGTCACCCCTGGGTGGACCAAGCGGCCGCATCCTGCTGCTGGGGCAACCTCTTCTCCCTGCTTCCCTTTGCAGGTCACCAGCTGCAGTCGGGGAAGTTGGGAAGCGGCATGGACAGACACGGGAACAGCAGGTTGGGGGACTCCAAGGTCGCCCTGGACCTGCGGATGGCCCTGTGCCCCTCAAAGTGGGAGCCTGCAGGTGAATCTCCATGGGATTTCCTGGAATGGCCCGTGGGATTTCCTGGAATGGCCCATGGGAAGCGTTGCCCATACCACGTGTCTCTCCATCCGTCTGTCCACAGGGAGCAGTGGGTGCCGGCTCTGCCCTTGGGACTGGCAGCAGCGGGGACACAAGTGCTACCGGGTGGCCCAAAGCACCCAG